CTGGGATTATAGTAAATGGCTAGGAAGAAAGTAATAAAGGTTCTAGCAGCAAAGTTATCAGATTTCAAAATACCTAGTTCAGTGGTATGTGATCACTTATAGTATGAGTAAACCGTGCTCTTCAGTTAGGTGGTGTATCGAATTTGACCAGTTTTACAATGTTTTAGTCATGAAATGACTACAAGTAAAAACTACTGAGGTACATTTTGAATTAACCAATTATTTCATTTTAGTTTTAAACATCTCAAGTGTACTCTCACTGTCCAATACGGTTCTGAACCCTGTATATTCGATGTCGATTACACTTTAATTAGTTAACCCAAAGGAATATATCTAGAGCTATCATAATTTACAATTTATATATTCTGAAAATAATGATTACAGAATTCACGCCAGTTTACAGGCATGATCAATTTGATATAAACAGTAACATTAGATGTAGAGAGCAAACATGTGATAGAAGAAAGTTTTAAGTGTACTAGTTCAGTGAGTGTTTAGATAGTACATGTACTACAGCGATCCAATGCATCAGCCGGGAACTTTTAATTTTTCTTAAATGGACAATCTGTTGATTTGTGAACGGTGTAATTAAGGTCATTTCCTGTGCCAGATCGAATTAATGATAATTATCTACAACTCGAGAAACTAAAACGAAAACAGGGCAAGGAACAACAAAGCAGTAATTACCAAAATATATGGATCAGGTCTACTTAAATGCGTGTGTCATGTGACACAGTGATATACTGTTTATGTTATTCAAATTAGTTAAACTTGCTAGGGACGGTGTTAACATATTGACAGCAAGTGGGTGGTTTTACTTAGGGGATTCACTAATAAAGATGGGTAAACATTTAAAGTTCCCAAAATATCACTTGTGGAATGAGATACACTTGCATCGATGCAGTAAACAAATAATGGGAGTGATTTTATCGTACGGATAGATTGTGGTAGGTTATTCCATAGTCTAGAAAATTTACAGGTGAAGTAATTCATATAAAGTGATGATTTAGAATGAGTTTGTTTCACTAAAGCCAAGGAATTACGGATGTCATAATGAGAAGTTTCTGTATATTGAACCACGTGATTGGATGTAAACGATATTTTATTAAGTAGTTTGAAGAATAAGTTAAGATTTAGTTTGAGTCTCTTCTTCCATAAAGGGCCTGGCCCAAATTCATTGCATCTAGAACCATAAGTTAAGGTACAATCAGCTCCAAGAATACTAAGTGTAAATCGTCTCTGTACTGATTCCAGCCTTAATTTATCCTTTATGCGCGCACTGCTAAGAATAAACGTGCAATATTCTAGAAGAGGTCGAACACAAACTTTGTACATTAAAATACGTGACTCATTGTTATAAAGGTTTCGATTTATGTAACCTACAAGACGCTGAGACTTGAAGGTCTGTTTCAATATCTGTTCTGTAAACGACAAGTCGTGGGAGTACCTAGGTCCTAAGTCCACTACTGTACGTAACCTAGATAACACTTCACCATTTATGGTAAGATCTAAGTTGAGTGATGTATTATATATTATGTATAATATCATTTAAATTTCACCATAAGTCGAACGATGACCGGGTGATTATCTTATTATATTTCATACGTAAACTCCTAATAAACAACAATAGTTGTAAATTACAGATACAATCAATTTTATTCTAGAATTTACCATAATATTATGATGCAAACTATGATATATGCATAGGTATTGATGGAATTTTGAAGTAGTATTTTTCACAGCACTTTGCAATAAATCAACATATATTTATGAATATTATCCGATAACCTTTTCGGAACTTCAGCCTTTTCAACAACTGAACATTACTTCATAACCTATTCATTAATATTTTCCATAGATTGTTCAATCGTAAAATAAAGAAAATGCCTGACATTTACATTGTGAAAGTAATTTTCTTTTAGTCAAATTTTACTCCCTCCGTTCATCTTTTTATTATTCTTACTTTGCAACCTAGTTTATGGGACATTTTAAAATGTAATTCTAATTAAATTGTCATTCGTTTACGTGACTTGCGCATCATTGATTTCTTTATTATTACTGTGCAAAGGTTAGTATGATGATAGGTGTATTTTTCTCTGCAGGGTTATTTTTATTTACAATTTTTAGCAACTGACAGATATTTATTGGAATTTAAAAAGCAGTTTTTCATGGAGTTCTTAGAAATAAGTCAGTTACAACTTAGGACCAGGCACATATATTCATCGGTCCAAGTTGCCACACATCATTAGCACAGCAAGATGAACACCAAATTCATAGTAGTTACTTCAATGGTAGTAATATATAAAACATTGTATATAATAGGTTCGTAGAAAGAAAGGTTTAAAGCAATTTTAATCTCACGGTTTAGGGGAAGACAAAGAGTGTATACACCTACGCCATTGTAATTGATTATGGGCCATGTCACTCAGAGTCTCCAACCATTGGTTACAATAGTTGCGTGGGCCTCAACCAAATAGTCTGCATCTACCAACATGGTTCAGACCAAACGTTAGTGACTTCAAGGATTGATGCCATGTTTTGGTTTGGTCGTCCCTAACTGTTATTCTAACCGTCTTCAATATATATATATATATATATATATATATATATATATATATATATATATATATATATATATATATATATATATATATAATGAGAAGTCCTTATTTAGAACAAAATAACTGTCCAACCACTCCGTGATTTATTTTCCAGTTGATATCAGATCATTGTCACACTTATTGTGATGTTATACAAATTGTCCAGAAAACTGTAGTCATCAACTATAAATCATTGATAATGACTATGCTGTTGAGGAAATCAACATTAATTTGAATAAGCAAAGTTTGAAAAACAGTTTAATCTTCAACCATTTAATTGATCCTTTTTTTTCTCAAACTGATGTAATTAGTGATTTCTATAGTGAAGTTTTTGAATATTAAACTGTCAGGATCGATACAGATAGTATCTGAAATTCAATTATCCATACTAGGCAGTAAATGCACTACATTAACTTATGTTGTTTCGACAATACAGTTCATAACTTTTAGTTTATCATAAGTAGTATTCAAGAGAGTTATTGATGAATTCATAGTTCAATAGGTAAAACATTATTCAGTCGGAATTAATGTTAACAGAATCAAAACGTTTCATTAATAAATTCAGAATAGTTGATTATATTATTGATATACGAGTTTATGTTTGTCAATTAATCATATTTAGTTGGTTTGAGCCAACCAAATGTTTCTGTCACATCATTGGCTGTGTTTAAATGCATATATGGAAAGGTACTACCAATATTTTTGCCATACTGGTCAGTATAGAGAATTCAGAGGTTATTTCATCGTGGTTAGCTAGCAGTAGAATAGGAGATTGTATATTGCATTAGTTAATTGCTTAAGCATTCTAAGGTGGATTTTTTTTACATTATGATTCCAGCAAGTCACCGGTTGTTTCATACATGGAAACAGTAATATTTTCAGACTTAGAATAAATGAGCTAGTCATTTAATGATGGAGTAAAGGAAACACAATAAAATCTAAAGTCTTTGTAAAAACAAAATATACCATACTAAGTTATAACTTGAATAAGTGAAATGCTATTATCTACTCGATGATAGTAATAATAATAATAATAATAATAATAATAATGGTTTAAATCCCCATTACTTTTGAATCAATTTACTTGACTTTGTGAATATTCTTAAAAAGGAAATTTATATGAAATTCACTCTACGGGAACTCTTCAAAAATAACAATTTACTACTAGCTTATAAGTTAGTAACTGTTTATTAAAGGAAGTTTGAAATGTTAAGGACTTTAATTTTTTCAACAATTGTAAATTCAACAAATGTGTTATTCAAGTTTGTATTCATTGATTGTAATAGAATGAATGTTTGTCAAAAGTCTCAATCTTATTTTATTGATGTAGATATATTTACCTTTTCAAAGATGATAAACTAGATCATATTGTTCTTTTTTGATCAATTCCTATTCATCATAAAATTTTTATTTTAGTATTTTAATGAAGGTGTAAAGTGTTTAGATGAATGATTTGAACATAAAATTATCTCTATGTTAATAAACTTACTGACAAGTGAAATGATCATCTTTTACATTTCCAAATTGTTTCTCATATGATAGAATAAATTTATTTTCATTACAAATTTCCTAAAATTTATGATTAGACAAGTGCGGGATTTTTTTTTTATAAAAAAAACATTTAACAATTAGTACTAATTACTTAACAAGTTCAATCAAATACTTTAAAACATGGAAATAATTTAATATTATTGCTACATAGTAATTTTTACTTTGAGACAAAAATAAAACGGTTACTTATTTTATAACCTTATGTAATTATAATTATAAGGTTGAAAATGTTCAACCAAATGTCATTACAATTATAAACCACCTGTTATGTAATCTATATTTTTCCTACATAGAGAAAAACAACAAACTATATGTATGAAACTAGTTTATTATATCACTAAGACTTTTCATTTACTTAGTGGACTTTTGTATCTTGTATCATTTTTAATGGTTGACTGGAATGATATTGTTTTTTTCTTCAATTTTCTCTAGATTAATGAAGTTAGCAGGAAGACCATTTTCATAATGAACTAACATTAAGGTTATACAATTGAATTGATCATTATGGAGGATTGAACAAATATTTTAATTTAAACGATTAGATATTTTGGATTAATCATTAAGAGATCGAACTGATGATCTGTAACATGTATAGCTAACAAGATACCTTTAAGACCTTAGGTAGAAATTTAATGGTTCAGTGTTTAACATCCAAATCATCATACAGTTACTAGTTTTTTCGATTAGGAAGGTTTCTGAAGTCAATTTTTAACTAAATTTACTTCCGGACTGAAAATAATCAACGAATAGTCACTTCATAAATTAACCATATATATATATAGTGAATTTTTTGTTCTGACTTATGTAATAAACTTTAACATTTTTATCTTTCAACCTACATTTCTACAGATAACAGATGTCTTCAAACCCAAGTCAGAGTGTTCAAACGTTGGGTGAATGTATTACTGAAACAGGTAAATGATTAGTCAATATGTCGTTATATCATACTTTTCTGCTAGAATTTACTGTTTTATGTTAAATTTTGAAAAAAACCCAGTTGTTCGAACTAATAATGTTATTTATTCGTGTACGAGTATTGTGAACAAGTCATCTTTCGGCTATAACTTCAAATCATATTCCGGTCTGACTTTATGTGGAGAAATTTTCTTGATAAAACTTAAATCAACCTACTGGACAAAACATTAGGAATATTTAATTTCAGTCGCTGATATTTTTTTACAAATATGGTTCACATATGACTGTAGCAATAATTCTTTCAAAGTTTTCACATATGTATATGATTTCATATTTATAAAGACAGACATATTATTGATAAGTATATTCATATCTGATTATTTATTTTTATTTTCCCCTTAGGCAAATGCCAAGGAAATCAATGATGTATTGGAAATATTTACTGATCATGAAAATTTGTATAATTTATGCAAGTACCTGGCAAGTCAAAAAGTGGCATGTGTAAGTAGTATATCAAAGTAAAAAAGAAATGCGAGTATATATATATATATATATATATATATATATATATATATATATAATCATGTACTATTAAGTTTCAGTAGTGATCCTCAAGTGTTTTTGTCAGCTATACATCAACTTCCTTGACTGTGAGAAGGGTTTGACTGAGTGGTTATGACGACCTTATGGGGCCTTCTTAAACATTATGGTGTACCTGAGAAAATCGCCAATGTCTTCCGGAATTCATACGACGGACTACAATGCAAAGTCGTGCATGGAAGACAGCTGATAGATTCATTCCAAATGAGAACTGGAGTCAGACAAGACTGCTTGCTTTCCCACCTCCTCTTTCTTCTAGTGGTTGAATGGACTGTGAAGAACCCTACATTTGAGGGGAAGCATGGAATAAAATGGACAGTTTGGATGCAATTAGACGATTTGAACTTTGCAGATTACCTGGCCCTTCTGTCCCATACACACAAACAAATGCAGATGAAGACGACCAGTGTAGTCGAAGTCTCTGCATCAATAGGCATCAGCATACACAAGGAAAAACCAAGATCGTCAAATACAACACGGAGAATACCAACCGAACCACACTTGATGGAGAAACTCTCGAAGGGTTGTAAAGTTTCATGTGCCTCGGAAACATCATCGATGAACAAGGAGGATCGGATGCAGATGTAAAGGTGAGGATTGGCAAAGGAACATATAGAACTCAAAACAACTGCCAACCAATATCAAAGTCAGAATCTTCAATACTTACGTCAAGACAGTTCTACTGTACGGAGAACTACTACAACCATTATCAAAAAGGTATCAGTATTTATCAACAATTATCCATGAGAGATACTGAATGTCCGTTGGCGAGATACCAGCTGCAATAGTTTACTGTGGGAGAGAACAAACCAGCTTCCAGCTAAAGAGGAAATTAGGAAAAGACGCTTAAAGTAAATAGGACTTACACTGCGGAAATCATCAAACTGCATCCTGAATGGGAACGAAAAAAGGAAGGCCTAAGAACACACCGCGCCGGGAATCGTAAGCAGATATAAAAGGATAAATAGCAACTGGAAAGGATTGCTCAGATCAGAGTTAGATGGAGAATGATGGTGGGTGACCTATGCTCTTTCACGAAGGTAATAGGAGCAAGTAAGTAAATAAATAAATACACTAGTGTCCTGAAAATTGATTAGTAATTAACATTGTCATCTACAGAGGAAAGATGTTTTAGATTTTGAAACAATCTTAAGTCTGGTGATGTTAGAACGTTGATAATTTTGTCATGAAAAATATACATAAATTTCAAACAACTAAATCCTTTGATAAATCTAAACAGAGCACGAAAAACAATGTTCGCAGAATAAAATACAACCTAAAATTATAATTGTTAGCATAATCATTGACAAATGATGAACATACCTTAATTTGCAGAATTTAGATATGATTTCGGTTACGTTTCAAGCACTTTGTTCAAATAATTAAAATAACCCATAGTGTCATTGAATAAGAAGAAGAGAATTCAGCCAAGAAAATTTTCTTTTCGGCGAAATCATTTACTTAAGCTGTACATTCCATATAACTATACATATGAATGTACAGCTTAAGTAAATGATTTCGTCGAAAAGAAAATTTTCTTCGCTGAATTCTATTTTTCTTACTTTGTTCAAACTTAATACTGAATGAACTACTTGCCCAAATCAGTTTCCAGCGTGCACTTGATGTAGCATCAGTTCGTGAAGAAAACTATATTTTAAAAAGTATTAGGCTTTCAGAAAATAGAACTCTCTTCATGACCTCCATGACTTGAAGAAAAAGTATCAAAATATGCTAATTTTGTGAAACGATGAGCAGAAACTTTATTTTAAAAGTTAGTATCAAATGAATTTGATTTCCTACAGTGCAAATTTAAAAAATTCAAATGAATATAAATTTGCCAAAAACAGTAAAATTGTATGCACACACTTTTGGAACTGAAATAAGTCGATGACTTGTTTTCCTCACTGATTGTTTTCAAGTTAACTAACTTGGAAAACTACTCTTGTACAATAATGTACTTTATGTCTGTAAATCTGTACATGTATAAATAAGTCGGGTAACTAATTTGTGAAGACCGATAATTTGGTTCAAAGCACACAATTATAGCCTCTATTAATTCACCTGGGTTTCTGAGTCACTGTTAAAAACTATTCATACAACCTTGAATTTTAAAACTTCTTATATGTCTCTAGCAGCCAGAATCCACTGCATTCTAGGCCCATTGTGTACAGAGTTGATAAATTATATAGGGTCGGTTAGAGTTAACAAATAATTAGGCTAAAATATAGCTTATAAAATATTTGGAAATTCTAAATTTAATCAAACGTGTTTACCACAAGAAATTTTGAAAGACCAAAATGTGTTGTACAAAAACTCCCTTTTTTCGCAGACTGTCCAACTGATATCAATACACAAAATAATTGGATTTTTCCGAAATATTCAGTTTCCGGATATCATAAGCTGAAGTATCATTAAACATTTATTCCTGTCGAAAAATTTGCAAAATAGTTCAAGTCACAAAGGAGTGTATTTAGTTCTGAATCATATTTTAAGGTAGCCTACTGAAAACCCTAAACTCTATCATCTACAAGAAACTCATACTCCGTTGTTTCAGGTAGAGCGACATGTGTTCTAAAATTCTTTGCCATTTTATTTCTTGTAATATCAAACTAATCTAAAAGAAGGAAACAATGATATACATAAATAAATAGCTAAAATATTTTCTGTTTTCGTCTTATTGATATTCAAGAGTAAACCGAACAAGCCCTTTATATATGAGTTTGTCTCTATCAAATGTCATGGACTTGCATGCTATTACATTTTGATTATATTTCTGATGGATCCAAAATACTTGTTTGAAGCAGTAGATTCAAAACGTATTGGGAACGTCAACACTCAAATAATGAGTCATCCACATAGTAATTTATAAATAAGAATAAACTCACCATGGATTTCGTTGCTAGCCACTATTCAGACTACATTCTGAAAAGACGCCAATTAATTATTGAATAAATGAACTGAAAGAAATACTTTTTTAAAATCATACTGATATAAATGTTTCAAATTTGAAAATAAGATCAGTACCATTGTAATGACAAATATTGCTAGAAGTCTAATGAGATTCTGAAAATCAGGAGAATAAAAAGTCTCTTCTAAATCTCTGTGATTTGTTCAACTGAACACTAATTATAAGTACAAACTAGTTTACCGATTTAGGTGATGAGAGCAGTTGTACATGTCTTTTGAACATCGAGATTTTGTTTGATTATATTGATTTTACTCGTATTTAGTAGATAAATAAATTAATCATTCGGTAAGCTACGCGGTACTCTAGATGTTGTTTGAAAAACTCTATTCATGTAAACTTAGTGTCGAGCATCCATAAATAAAGAGTTGTAAAACTAATAATTTCTGTTAATCACCTTTTGTCAAACTATGTAATATATTCATTTTTGTATTGGTTGCTTGAATCCTCCTGTTGGTATTTTTGGACTGCGATTGATCACTATCTCATTGGCATATCTGCATCCTGTGCAGATTACCTCGATACTGCCTTAAGTCTTAAGCAAATATAAGCAAAGATGAATGGTAGCTAGCAGTGGAATTCAGGACGCGCGTTTCGTCCTATATGGGACTCGTCAACTAGATATACCTGCAACTCAGAATTGACGTTCACCCCGAAACTCGAACCTAATACCGTTCGCTTCAAAGCCATCACATTATCCACTTAGCTAATGAGTCCTGATATCCGCTAGTTTGTGCAATGGGGTGTAATACATTTCTAAGAAATTTGACGACAGTCTTGTTTGACTAGTGAACATAGCAATATATGAGCGTCCAAATGAGTAGATAAACATAAAAGAGACTCTGAGATGGTGGAGAAGATTTGTAGCTCAGGTGGATGATTTTGGTGGTGTTTTGTTCTCTGAGCTGGATGGTTTGGTCGTGCTCTGGAACCATCCAGCTCAGAGAACAAAACACCACCAAAATAAAAGAGACTCATTCAAATAGTTTGTTCTTATTTCTAATTATTGAGAGGCATTAACTGTAAAGTTAAGTGAATATCACGTGAACATATAATAAAATTCTCCAAATCCCTAATTATTTACCATTTGATGTACCGATTTTATAACAACCTATGTCAACTTATTCGACAAATAAAATCATTGAACTTAGTAATGACGTATTATTTGTTTTCATCTTTCTAAAATGCAAATAATTCGATACTCTGCATTACTGTTAATAAGTTCACTTTTACTGAAATACTATTGACTCTTAACATAAAATTAATAATCCCGAAAATATCTACAAGTGTAGAAGCATGATGAAAAGCTTAGTGAAAGTGAAGTATTTTTATATTTCATTTCTTTACTTACTAAATGCCTACTTTTACGGAAATGATTTATTCACTATACAATTCTAACAATAGTTCTAATCTTAACTATTATTCATGTTAACAAATACAAACAAACAAACTAAATAGCAGAATCTTATAAACTATCTCAATTTTTTTATTCCACATTACTATTGACAAATTACTGGTAATAAATACAACCAAATTAATTTCATTGAATCATATTCATTAACGGTTCTCCATGTATTTTATTTAATCTTTAAATCTTTAACAATGAGTAGAATAACGTTTTTAACATTGAGAAAGTTTCAGTAAAGACTAAATGCATTAAGTCTGTTTTAGTTCTTTTTCTTGTTTAGTTTATATGGATTATTTACTTTGTCAATAATTATTTTCTTTTTCCTGCTATGTACAACGATATACGGGTATTGTTTGTTAACAAACGGTGACATTGTTTAAACAGGGCTTTTTGTAAACGTCTATATGATCAACTTATAAACCATTATAGTGGTTAATTTGCGAATCATTAGAATTGATTCAGATAATTAAATTAATACGTAGTTGTTTAGCATTAATATCACTGATTAAATCAGTATTACTTATAATAACAGTAGTAGTCACGATAGGGTTACATTAAGTAGTATCTTTTACTGTTAGGAATATGAATATTTCTTTTTATTAAGGTTAATTTAACGAAACTATACTATAATGCTAGTCTTTCTTTGAAATTATTGGTGTCAACATTAAATGATTATGAGTAAACATCAATTTAGAGATGTCCGTGTGTCCATCTGACGAGTCCCAAAAAGAACGAGACGCGCGTCCTGGATTTCACTGCTAGCCACTATCTATCTTCGCTTAAGTGAATATGTTTTTAGATGGGCATACCAAGTTAACTTCAATGATAGATTTGTATTGACGTTGAATTCAGGGTTTGTAATTCTTGTACGTAAAACATTATAGTAAAAAAATTCAATGACTACATTGAAATGTATGAACTGATTTGTAAACTACATTACAGCAATTAATGTCGGGTTATTCAAAACTCGTTTAGAGAAAAATAGTCGAATTCCATGTAAATCAGCTATTTAAAACATAAAAAATAAAGATTAATACTTAACTATTTCATAATAGTAGTTAAACAGTTCAATTTATTGTTATATTATAAATAAGTAGATAGCAGTTAGATGAATACATTTTGGTTTTGGCATGAATGTATTTTCTGTCTTCATTTTTTAAAAACACCAGACTTATACAATCTTTTTTGCAAGAGTTATAACATCACAATAAGTTGTATGTTTGCACTCTATAGAGTTTATTAAATTATAGTATCTTGGTTTTTTCATTGATCTGGATAAATTTAAAAACTGAAGGTGTCGTTTTGCACAAACTGACTCATTATTCTTCATTCAACATGAGTGAAATTTTACTGTTTAAATGAACAGCATCAAGAATACTCAAACAATTTTTAAGTTATCGGTGAACTCAATACTGTGTAATGACAGTGACGAAATCCGAATGGCGATTTCATTTAAGGTTTGCATTATCAACTATTTCTTCAGGTTTGCATTTGAATGACTCCCTGCCAATAATAGATTTAAATTCAGTAACATTGTTTAACATAGTGAACGACATTATTGTTTATAAATCAATCTCATTGAAAAGATGAGACGTAATACCATCGAATAGTTGAAGATTCGAACAAGTATTTATGGTATTAAACAATATTTTTTCAATCCAATCATGAAACTTTAAAATATATCGTTAATCGGTTAACACTACATAGTCAATAGAATGATATCTTTAAAGAATAATTTTCCTAATACACTGAACGCGATTAAATCGTCAACATTAACTACTATGTTACTTGCAGACAATAGATAAAAATATATTAATTAAGATAAAATAATAAAAATTACATAAATATTATTAATTTACCTAAAACTTACCCGTTTCTTTGTTTTTTTTTCTTTCTAGAGTAAACAGACATTCCCAGATTATATCCCTCACCTGGAACGTGCAATAACTATTCTAGAAAAGCTATATGGGGTGAGATAGTGATATATATATATATATATATATATATATATTTGAAATGTTATCTAAATTTATAGATCTGTTTATTTCAGCTTTCAAAAACGTCCAACTATTAAGGTCAAACTTATAAACATGATCAACTAATAAAAGTCAATCACTAAGTGTTGTTTCTCCGAGGCACTTGTAAACAATATAAAAAATCTGTTGTAGCAGTAATCGTTGCATCTAGAATAGATCTTTCGCTTTATCAGCAGTTAAAAAGTTGGTTATTCAAATTAAATCAGCAAAAATTATGATCAGAAGGACAATTTTGTCTGTTTAGGCAGAAAAATCCTAGATTTGTAGTTATAGAGTCGTTTCATCAAACAAAATATTTATTAGTAAGTCGAAATTATTTTTTATATTCAGATACTGTAAAATATTTGAATAAACAGTTGAATGTTTATGCATTTCGTGCACATCTTACTTATAAGTAATATACATGGACTTATGATAGTTATCAAAGATTATTGGGTTATTCATGATTGGACTTCGACTTAGGTGTTATATCCTAACAACAACCAATGCTCATGGTTTACTTGAAGCAACCAATACGCAACATGGACAAGAAGACTGATACTTATACTTAATGGCTGGTCCAATAGTAATCAGTCTCGAACGAAGAGGAGGAATATAAGACCAACGACCACCAGTCCAAGATCGTTGTTAAATTTCAGACATTCATTTATGTACACAAAAGACCAGACCACATCATACTATAAAATAACAGTAACAATTGTTCATGATCAATCTAAAATGTGGTTGTAAATAGAAGTGACTGGCAACAGATTAAGAGTAGTAAATCACACAACAGTAATTAATGGGTAATCGAAAGTTTATGATAAAAAGGAATAAACATAATAACCTAGTTGCAACAATAATATGTATATGATGAAAGTCCTGGAAGCTAGCATTCTTTTAGTCTTCGTTCGTATATAACTCTAAAGCGGTTTCGGTTTAGGTTATTTTTTTCATAAACGTTGAGGGGTTCCTTCAGATTATTTATTGGAGATTAGTTTTCATCATGAACTGATACCTGCTACAATTCCACCTAAATCATGATGTATTAGGTGGCTGTATTGTTCTGATATGAAAATTATTCATCAGCATTTATCTGTAATCAGAAATTTCATAAGTTTTATAGAGTACAAGGCTTTCTAATTATTGAATCAGAATTTGTTAGTTAACATTTTCAGTGTCAACCAAAAATATAGTGTGATCATTCCATGTCATTAGTTATATCTCTCTCACTGTTGACAATGCTGAAACTAATCGATGATATATTTTAACTTGATATTCGAAAGATCATCTCTAAAATAATTCACAAATAACTCTGTCGTTAGTATCAGAAGGGGTTTTGTGGATATTATAGTAATTTTAATGGTTGAGATCATGAGCCTATTGAAGCTACACCACCATGAAAAACCTGGAAGCACTGGATGGCCGTTTCGTCTTATTGTGAGTCTCCTCAGAAGTGCTCATCCACTATCCCGCCTCGTGGCTCAATGGTCTAGAGGTTAGGCATTCGCGAACGAGACCTATAGGTCCTGGATTGGAATCTCACGAGGTAGGATCGTGTATGTGCCCTGCTGAGGATTCCCATAATGGGACGAAACGGCCTACAGGTTTTCTATGGTGGTCTAGCTTCAATTGACTTACGATCTCAACTTTATGGTTAATAATAATTTAAATCAGAGGTTTGTTGAAATTATTCTTTTTAAAGTTGATTTTTATCATTAACTATATAGTTATAAAAATTCAATATATGTCCAGAGTGTAAACTAGTTACCACAAATAAAATAAAGCCTAAAACATACAATTATAACTGGAAACTTTCCATAATGGTAATAAAAAACTAATTGTGATTTCTGAGTTTGATCAATTTACTAATTGGTATCAAATTTGAATAGAATTTCATTTAAACTATTTGGTTCCATTTCTTTCCTAATACTTTTTTTTCGTTGTTAAATAACACACTACACTACTATTGGCAAATTTATTTTCTGTATAATTCATTCTTCGGAAAAGAAACGTTTTTTTCCCGACTATAAATTTATTCGTAAGGTAATTAAAAAAGTAGCTCTAATTGAAAGTATTATAGTTTGTATTTTTTTTGTTTTTTTGTTTTAAAATCTAATTACCAAATTTTAACAACTTAACCTTGAAATACTTAAATTACATATTGATAGACAATTATGATCAATGTTAAATAATTAGGGAATGTTAACTAAACAAAATTGGATTTAAATTATTAGAATATATCATGATTAAAATTGTTTACATGTAATATATTATCTTAAATTGTTAATTGACTAATATTTATACAAATGAATACATAGTGATTGTTTTTTATATAAGTAGTACATTTTACACTTAAGATACTTCATTTTATTAACAGTTGTTAATATTTACAAATAAAATATATTAGAAATTTCACAGATTGAAATAATGAGTCAATTAGAGCTAGACCACCATGGAAAATCTGGAAGCACTGGACGGCCGTTTCGTCCTGGTATGGGACTCCTCAGCAGTGCGCATCCACGATCCATGATAATAATCATCTGCTCATTAGTGACTTACTTCAAGAGATACACCTGGAGTTCTAGTGAGAAGCCGTTACCAGTGGAGTTCAACCAGGTCTGTTGTGAGATATCAACTCACTGAAGACAATGGTGTACGGTGGCGCAACTTCGTAAATAAAATATATGTCTATTCACTTATATTAGATTCTTTTTCTTAATATTACAATTATGTTCAGTATTAAATATAATTTTTTTTCATTCACTTAATTATTGAGAGAAAATTTTTTTTCATTTAGGATTTCTTTTCAAGCCTTGACGTTCATCTTATTTGTTTCTTTATCTGAAAAACTAAAACATACAATAATGATTTGTTCTTAGAAAATAAATATAGTTTTAAATGATTCAAATGAAATTCTCAGCTGAAAATCATACTGTTTTATGCAATATATACATAATATATGAACAGAAAAATATTGAAAGAGGCTAGAAATAGCACTTTTTTGAACAATGAAAATAATGTGTTTAACCCGATATGAGTATTTTTAAAAATTTAATCTTTGACTAATGACATGGTTAGTATAAATTGAAAAGGCTAAATTCAGGTAGTATTGTTTGCTCGTATCTTCCGATTGTTGTTTAAGACTGCAATTGGTTAGTCTCTTGTTGGCATATGTGCCTCCTGTCACCTTATTGTACAAGCAGGTGGCTATCAGGACCAGGTAGCTAAATGGACAACGTGATGGCCTTGAAGCGAACGGTATTGGGTTCGAGTTTCGGAGTGAACATCAACTGTGTGATGCAGGTACATCCAGTTGATGAGTCCCAAATAGGACGAAACGCACATCCTGGAGTAATCGAACAATGCAATCAAGGGTCAATCAACATGTGTCTTCATCTTAGTTATATAATCAGCTGTATTTACTAAGACGACACCTGAACCTTTATCCAGTCGTAAAATCGATCCTAGACGATCGGCTGAGATTCAAGGTAGATAAATCCAAATAAGATTTAACTGATTCAACACAAAAACGAATCACAAGCATGCTTAGAGAACTTCTAAAAAGGAAAATGCTAATTCTACTTACAATGATCCCAGACTATATAGCTCACGTCTACCTCATATGTATGGTTTACCAAAAGTTCACAAACATGACGCTCCCCTTTGACCTATCCTATTAATGATCAACTCACCGTATCACGAAGTTGAACGGTGGCTAGCAGAAACACTAGAACCAATCCGCCGGAAATTAGCAACATACACGTTAAGAGATTCATTCCAGTTTATTGATAGACTGAATCGTTCGAATGTTGCCGATAAGTTCATGGTTTCTTTTGATGTAATATCCTTGCTCACCAATATACCACTTTTTGAAACTATTGATATAGTTTGTTAGAATTATGATCTAATTTACCAGCCCCAGAATTCAAAAAAACTACTACTAATGTGCACAACAGACTTTCAATTCCAGTTTAATAACACCATATATCGTCAAATCGATGGCTTAGCAATAGGAAATCCACTTGGTCCAATCATAGCAGATAATTTTATGAGGTATCTTGAAAACACAGTGCTTAAACTGGCGATTAGCGAAACGACGGAATACTCCAGATATGTTGATGACACATTTATTGTCTGTAACATTTGCATCATTGAGTTTTATTTCAACTATCTTCCAAATTAATAATCTAATTTTATCGACTGAGCTCTACTCATTTTATTCCTATCAATGTTTACTCATTATATAATCACTTGTTTCTGGTCGTTTGAACTGTTGTCACAGTCAAGGTGGTAGAATATTCTTTTACATAGGGTATATATATACAATATTCAGTCTATTAAATTTATTTACACCCTTGCTATACTATACTAATATTTCTTCAATATAACTTCCGACCAAACCTCATGAAAGTAATTTAAACCCATTATGTAATTATGATTTTAAATATCACAAGGTTGTAAGCAGCTGACGAGAACCTACGAATTAAAATGAATTCATGCTATTCTGTTAGAATCTTTGTTCTCCCTCTTTTCAAAATGGTAAGGTGAACCATGTGTATGAAATATAACTTTTAGTGATATAATAACCACCACTAATTAAAATAATGTTTTTCGGAAGGTATATTGTAATAGCAGGTCATTCTGGTCGAGCTTTCACTGGTGACTTTTCGATTATTTCTAATTTTTCGAATTTTTTACATTTTCCTATTAAGGTACTTTGTATCATTAGTTAAGTGCATAAAGTCCTATTGACAAATCTTAAGTAAGTGACTGATGTTGGTAAATTTCCGTATATAAGGTTTTAATACGTCGTTACATATTTTGTTATAACTTGTTGTTTGAATGCTTATTGTCTTGGTTTTTTAAATGCTACATTTTGTATCTGGTCGTCGCTGACTGTAATGTCGGAATCGTTTATCACTTATACTCGGAATGAGGGGATTCGAACCCACGCGGGGTGTATTTAGTTCAATTCCTAAAATGTTTACTGCACAGCATACATTTTTATTCTGTACATCCAAATAACACAAGGTGTCTGCTCAACTCTTTTGTTAATTTGCACTGCAAACAAATTCTCATTTGGCGGCGAAAGGATTCTAAATTGCATCTATCAACATTTGACAAGCATATTATCATTAATGTGGACTTTGTAATACCACTTTCAACATGCCCATATATATATATATATATATATATATATATATAATTCTTATTCAGATCAATATGTGCTGATGAAGTACACTAGAACTCAACAAGTTTTCCTTTTTGCATAATTACCGTTGACGCGAAGTTTAATTTTAATCATAAACACGTATAAAACTTATGCGCTAGCATTATTGCCATAATTACTGTGATTCCTGACCACTATTGTTGAAAATTTAGGTGCATGATTATACCTATTCAATAATAAGTAATTAGTTAACTTGTATTTCAAAATGTGTACTCGTGTTATTAAGAACACAGTTTTGTTATAAGTAATAATTCGTTAGTTACTCGTAAATGGTGCATCGTTGTAATTCGATTTGTTGAAATCCATTTAGTATAAACTGTTTTGATTGGATATCAAAAATTTGCACTTTTACATTAGAATTTTACTCTTTCAAAACAATCTATCAGACTGTTTCATAGCCATACAATGTGAAATTGTAACTTTAGAAAAAAAGTTACATCAATTATAACATAGATATATGAAGGAAGAATATTCTTTTCAGTAATTTCTCTTCATGTTCTACAGTTATATATCCAAATTAAAAATCCGTAAAATCGACCAGATTTGAGGCAAAGTACATCATTTCAACTTATAACTATGCCTTAAACTTGGTCGACTTTACGAATTGTTAATTTGGTTATATAATAGTCGAACCTGAAAAGAAATTACTGAAAAGGGTATTCTTCATTCATGTATCTGTGTTTTAATATAATGGAAATTTTCCATCAATTATATTCGAACGCCATATGAAACAACTGGTTGTTAATCAACATTGAGATAAAGAGTGACATCAATTTCCTCACAGTCAATTTTTTTTCCGTGTTATTGATTCACGTATTTAATTGTTCCGACAATAGGAAATATGTGTGTAAGTAATGAGAATTTCAATATGTAGTGAACGAAGACTCCGCGGGATTAACTAATTCATTGTTTCATGCAAAATTACACAGTGAGTTAGCGAAATATGAAAAGCACACAACAAATACATCATTTGCACATCTTTTATGCGTTGTTCTTTACATACACTACTATTCCTCTAATTCTGCTGTTACTTTGATTGCTACCTGTTCTCTTCAACTCAATCTTCTGTTGCCAGGCATCCCACTTCCGATCGTGGCAACATACTTTTATCTGTCAGCATAAATAGCATACATCACATATAGTGTTAAGTGTAAATAAACGGGTTTGAATCTGATATCTGGTGTTTAGAATATTATCGCCTAGACGTCTAAGTCCTACTAAGATCAATAGCATGAACTGAAAATTGGTTGCTCTTAATTTTAACATGTTTTTATTTTCATAAGATTCCTTGATTTATCGATTTGTCTCATCAAAGCCAACTTCATCCAGGAAAACAGTAGTGAAACTTATGTGATCTGTATTAACTCAGAAAAATTAATGCAGATTATTATCGTCATCATCCATTTGATTCTCAAAATCTAACAAAGGATGTAAGCTAACTTTACAACTCGTCATTATCTCCTACACCGAGAACATCTGTCGCATATTAAAGACATCTTGAGGATACAGCCGGGTCAGTAAACTCCTGAGGAAACAATATAATAGAATTGATCAATTTAAATCTATCAGTTAGGACATACAGACTTTATAGTTAGTGTTAGGTAAATTACTAACGTTCAAAGTTATGAGAAAATGTAAATATTGAAGAAACTATTACTTTTTATATTACATTTCTAAAAACAACAACCAATATCTTCCGTTTCAAAACTATTCATTTTATTGGGCGAAATGGGATGGAAAATTTCCTTAGATGGGTTGAAAAAATCATTTATTGAAAAATAAGATACAAAATTCCCCGGGATGTAAATGCGATTTAAACTTGTATGTATAATATTTTGTCATCAGTTACATTGACTAAGGGAATTCTAGCTAAATTTCTAATACCCTTTAATGATGCACACTTCAAAGCAAAAACAGTTTTACATTTTCGAATTTCGTTAACCTTTGACCTGTGGTCATTTCGTTTTGTTCCATTTACCCAAACACTTAAGTCTAGTCACCGAAAGTGAACTGAAATATCCTGTCTATACATGTTTTTGTAAAGTTTCATACTATTTTTGTAATTGTATTGGATTTCATAAAATACATCTCTGTGTACTTGTGCAGTCTTGCGTCTTTCTATATATGTACGTAGCACATCTTATTTACTGGTTTATTGATCGTATAATTTGGAAGTTATAAACCTGCTTTTACGTACATATGTACAAGCACAATTTACATCTGTCCAGGTATGAATACATACACATAATGCACTCTTATGCTTCTTAGATAGTGTATGCCTAAATAGCAGTAATAATATTGATCGATAAAACCTGTTGTTAGACCTCGTAAAATTTATTCTATTTGTTTTTTAACCATATTTTTGTCGTGAAATGTCTACTCGTCTACATTTACTAACGAAACGAAAAGAAGTCATGCGAAAAACTCGTTGAAATATCTCGCCTTGTATTGCAGAAGTTTGCTACTTATGAGTAATAGTTTATTTTGTGAACATGTTATTTATTCTCGCGCGAGACTGATATGTCCTGGGTTCGAATCTCTTAAGGCAGGATCGTCGATGCGCACTTCTGAGGAGTCCCACAATAGGACGAAACGGTTGTCTAGTGATTCTAGGTTTTCCATGGGAGTTTAGCCTCAACTGACTCATGATCTCAACCATCAAAAAATATTATTCTCTGTTAAGGGAAAAAAGTGAAAATGAAGTATTTGTAAACTGAATTTTAATTTAATCAATTATTTTTGCTATAATCCCAATCAAATGACTAGACGATGTGTTTAGTTATTTTATATTTTGTCACGCGGAGTTGATTCCAATATACATTTTTGAATAACAAAGGAACTTATTGAATATCAGTAAAAAGTTATTTTAAGGTAAGAAATCATTCCATGAGATGTTTGATTCATAAACAGTAACGTGTAGAGAAAAATAAAGGTTCTTCATCTAAGGTGCACTAAACTGCTGGAAATACTGTGAGCTATAAAGCTCAGAGTGAACAAACTGACTAAAATAAATTCATGGTTATGTATACACTGTTACCCAGTGCGATAATTGGGAAAAATATACTTTTCTACGGTATTTATCGTTTTGTTTAGCCATTTGTTTATTTAATGTGTTTAGTTAAAATGCTCTAGACGATTGAACAATTGATTCATATTCTGTGCTAACCTTATCCGTTGTTCATTGAGTTTATCTACCTAGATACATTATGCATGTGTTAGCTAGTTGATAATAACGCCCAAAATGCTTGCTCTCCAGTGAAAAATTATGCAGTATACTACCAGTTACCGTGGATGATAACTAAAGAGGAAGTGATCTTAAAGTTATTCCGTGCTATATACGTGTATCATTTGATAAGTAAGATCTGCTTCATCATCCATTGTCCAATGCTCATCACTTATCCTATTGATGGATATTTTCTGATATAAACGCTAATCTAAATCGATTTGTGTAGTGATGCTTAAATGTTTAAATATGTTTTTTTTTCTTTTTTATCTTCTTATTCACCAAAAACTATCTTTTTCAGAATGAAATAGCCACTGTTGTTCAATCAGCTATCTCTGAATTTACACAAAACTCAACAGTTGATTCAGAAAATCTACTCAAGGAATATTCCCCGAGTTCCAGAACAACTGAATACAGTTTATTACTTCTTGGTTTAGATACGCTATGGATTTTAATCGTTGCTATTCGAGCTGGAACTGGTCCATCAACAAACTTAGTTGGATCAATTAGTTCATCAGGTTCGACAATAACTAAAAGAAGTCAAAGTATTTCATCGACTGGTCATTCAGCGCCAGCTGCTCTTGTATCAACACGTTCACCATGTGTAGATCGATGGTTAATAAGTCAGGATAAACGGTTACTAGCTTGGTGTATTGCTGTGACCGAAGGGTGAGTGCCATACTTAGTTGTTGAACAACAGTCCTTCCTTCACTTGTTGATAAATCTAGTATATTTTTGTAATATGTTGTTATTTTCTGGAAAAATTCAACGCAACACTTAGAGCTAATGACAGTTAAAGTTTAAAAATCAAGTATTGGAGGTAAACAATAATTAAAATATTTTAAAACCAAAGCATAAGATTATGAGCTTCTTACAGTTCTGAGTATCACCTACTGAAAACTTGTTATTATCCTACAATATTTAAATTACTTTTTATGTATGGATCATCTAGGTTTAAAGCATTAGAGAATTATTGTTACTTTTATTATTGAATATATTTTTTAATATTAGGAGTGCTCTTTTTTAGATAGTAACTAGAAGTAGAGTTCGAGTTATGCAGTGGTAAAGAAAAATTTGAATACTATCCTAGTATTGCTATTAACTAAACCGTGCCATACAAATCTGCTAATCCGATTACCATTTATTCGTTGATCTCCATCCTGCAGTTTAGTCTATTTTAACTATCTAGATTTTATGACTTAATATTAATCTTTGATATTATGTTCCATTCAGTCGTGAATCTTTCATTACACCTCTAAACAACTCAAGCTTTAAATAGAAAGGAGCTCTGACAATCACTCCGCATGTGACTATCAACTTGGATGACCCAAGTGACGTTGGGAAAATTAACCTACCTATTAGGGTCTAAAGAGGGTTATAAATTAGTGTGAGAAATTAGAATTGGGACTTAGATTGAGAATTTGATGTTAGGAATTAGAGTTAGGGTTTTTGTCGTGAACTGACATCAACTATAATGCTGACATCCTATCTAACCATATGGGTGAATGAATTTCGAGCCAAAATCCAAGATTTGTTACCTTAAATCGGACTGGTTTGCTCGTAAGTTATGGTTTCGCGGCAACTTTTTTTGCCGACAACATATTTGAGTGGTTTTCCTCAACACAAGTCTTATCATCATCTGAATATTTATTTTGATTATCTTTCTCACTAACCTGGTTTTAGGACTAACCGTTGTTTAGGATTTTTCAAATGGTTAATGAATTTGGTTTAGATCAGTGTGTTTATAGGTTCCCAATGGATCTGAGTTCGAAACTTTTAAGAATTCCCTTATATCTTTTGTGTTGGCTTTATCCAAGATTTTAACGTTATCTCAGTTAACTAAGTGTCCACAGTTGTCTACATGTATTGACATAAAAAAAGATATGCTGTGTGTATGTTGGCGAATCGATGCTCACGTAAACAAAGAAGAAGAATATAAACTCCTTGTCCGATGTAACATTTCCCGATTGGGGGCTGTTTCAAAGCAGTTGTTTGAAAAACAGTCACCTGATGTCCCCATGTTCACACATGATAGGTGTATTGCAGTGAGTCTTCGCTCCTTTAAATAGAGTTTGGGCATAGTTTGTTTTATTAGTTATTACTCAATAACAATTAACGAGATAGTTTGTTGTTCAATTTGTGAAAACTTCACTGTCAAACAAAGAAAACAAAATTAAACTTAACTAAGTTATTTTGCAATTACGTTTTTAGCATAGGAGATATGTGGAAATTATAGGGTTTTTAAAGTTTAAAGCACAAACTAATCTTAGCTAAATCACCATTGAAAACCTGAAAGCACTTGATATCAGTCTTGTCCTATCATGGGTGGTTTTTGTAGTAAAAACTAGAATTTGACAGAAATAATAAGAAAAGACTGAAAAACATATTTTATACTTGAATTTAATACCGAACGAGAAGTTATTCTTCATTAGTAAAATAATATATAGTCTGATTATTTCATTCGAGATACACTAAAAGCTTATTACAGAATTTCCAACTGAGTTATACAATGAACTTCACTATTAAATTTACAGATTTTGTGATGTTGTAGCAATGTCTGATGATTTGTTAATTTTCCCAAATGGTATTGCTTTTTCCTTAACTTATGGGAAGACTTTAAAAAAATGTTTTTTAGGAAGAAAAAAAATTAGAAACTTTTAACATGTGAAGTAAATGTAGTCTTAATGAGAAGAACTAATTATTAACAGTACAACGTGATTATATACTAATTGTTAATGGGCAAGGGATTGATCGAAGAGTATTAACGTTTGCTCTATAAATTATCAGCAACATACAGCTATCATGTATATTTTCAGATTTAAATGTGACTTCTAAGAATTCAGGATAGTTATTGCTATTCTATAGCTGGAAAATTTGATTTTTATAACCAGATCATGAAAACTCAACCTGGCCGAGATACCGAGTTACTTATTTTCGGGTGTCATTCGCGTTTCGGGGTTACTAGCAGAGTTTAGGAGCCGGATCTGGAGTTCAAAAAGAAGACATATCGGTGGTGACGAAGTGAAAAAAACTCAATATAATCAGCATACGGAATTGTCGTCCGCGTCCTTGAACCACATTGGTCGTTAATTAGTCATACAGTATTTTTCATTACCGTACTGATTTATACAGAAACAGAAAATGACTCTCCCTTCCGATCGATTGCAATTGCTATTTCAGCGACAATAGCACCGTTTTAAAAAGAATCAGTTGGAATTTATAGACAAATTACACACACGGTTACTGAATAATCCATGCTTTGGTGATGTGATGGGAGTAAATGAACTAATTTCTAAATTGCGAACAGAGCTAGAAAATGATTGCAGAGTGGATAAGTGTGTCAGTAAAGGCCTCCATAAATGTTCGACAAACAATAATTTAAACGAAACAATAGTAATCGTATATGATCCGTCCAGTGGTCCACAAATCTCCATTTCTGAAACATGTCCTGCACAGGGTTCAAATCCCATTACCCCCGAAACACAATATACAAGCAGTGATTTGTCCAGCTCACGGAAAGACGGGGTCTTGTTAAATGCACATGAAACTTTTGCTGTACCCACCCACGAAGAAACGGAAAATGAATGAAGCATCATAATGAAGACAGTTGCATCAAACGGAGCTCAGCATTCTATGACGAAAGTTCCTGATAAATCTACTAATTACTGACTATCTAGACCGGGTAGCTTAGTGAACAGTATGTTGGCATCTAAAACAATAAATACTTAATGTGAATTACTTTGTAAACATCAACATTGTTATGTGGATACATCCAACTGATGAACATTAAAATGGGACAGGATGTCTATTTCTGATTCCACTACTAGTTATAATTTGACATTATGAAAATCCTATCTGATATTACCATAAATTTAAGTTATCTTTGTTGTGTTATAATTTTTTTCTTTCTCTCCAATCATATATTTACAGATATCCTGGTATTAGCTTAACAAATTTTACACATTCATGGCGTGATGGTTTAGCATTTCTAGCTATAGCACATCAAATAAGGTATGTTTAATTCATATAAATATTATTCATAAAAATTATTAATATTATTATATCTACGCAGATAAATCAATTGTTTGTTTGTTTGTTTGCTTTTAATTCGCATAGTTATTTCTTCCACAAGAATGTTGATGTTCTTAATGACCTTTTAGAAAGGAATGATTAACAAATGTGATATGTTTACTGTGTTATAATTATGTCAATATTATCACAAAAGAAAATGTAGAGAAAACAGTAAATGAAGAAAGTTCAAAGTGTTCAATTGTGTTTATTGACCAAATATTATCGACAAAAATTCTTTCATATCATAAATGGGATTAACGTATAAAGTGTAATATATTTAATGATACATTTTATTAGAAGTTGGTCAACTAAATTAAATAATCATAACTTTCAAACTAGTTATTAAGGTAATTATCAATTGATCAGGGTAAAATCGGTATTAATAATAATAATAATATGCTGTATGCTACTTGTATCTGTCGACATAAGTAGTATATAACACCAATCAGAAGTGAAATGCATGGTAGCAGAAGGCGAAAACGATCGAGTTGAAAAAAACATAGACAAACAGAAAGTGTTTATGAATTGAAAGAACCATACATAATGTGGTGGATAATTGATAGAAGATTTGCAAATGAAGTATTTAATGTATGGTTCTCATATTTTATCAATTTATTGTGTAATTTCGTATTAACCAACAAATTGGTCTTCCCCACTTGGGTTCTCACTCATTACAGTAATAAGAAAAATTTTATCCATAAAATATATTTGATAACGCAAATCAATATCTAAATTTCAACAATCGAAACAACTAATTACAAATAGTTAGATCCAATGTAAATAGTACTGAGAAATAAATAAAATGCAAATATATAATGCAGACAAGTTCAACTTATAATTCGGTTCGAAAAAGATTTTATATCAGACAAGTTTTTGTTTATGTGGATGGGCGTAGAAGAAAAAAGTGAAATATTTGTAAGATGGATAAACACTTTAATTTATAAGTTTATAATCATTCATCCAGTTATGTAGATGATCAGGTCTTCGGTTTCATTTAGTGTAGTAAAGTTTAATAATGCATGAAAAGATTTAGCCACTCGTCTTTCGTCTCACTGAACAGTATTGTATTCAATCGTTTTGATATTTTAGTATCAATTTATTGCTTATTAAAAATAGTATGTCCCACTATCAATTCTTTTTTCTTCATTTTGACAAAGAGGTCTTTTTATGGGGTTTAGATGATCCTTGAGACGAGTAATAAAAGCTGTCAAATTTAGAATAGATTATACTCGACAAAATCTACTATACAGAAACAGTTCTGTTCGTTCGTTAATAGATTTTCTTCATCTTTTCTAATTAAAACATTTCAAAGTTTACTATTTATTTTACATAATCCTTTAATTTTGTTTAGTTTTAGAACTCATTGCAGTTTTTCTGTCTTAACTTAGAGATAAGGTAAATAATACCGTACAAACTTATAGTATTTTATTCGTTTCTTTATTCAAAAACACATTGTTTCATTTTAATATATTTCAAATAATATTCATGGGAAAATGATCAAATCGATTGTCATATTATCAAGTTAGATCATAATTGTGATATCCACAAATAATAAACAAACTATTTTTAATCATTCCAACGTTATAGAAATACCTTCAACCGATATTACTTCAGAGTGGGTATTGTGCTGATCGATTTTTTTTATAGTTAACTATGCTAATTCTATATCAAATAGATAATATTTCATTTTAGAAAAGCTTTTAGAGAAACTAAGGCCTCTTGATTATTGTATAAGTTTAGGATATATTTATTATTAGTGTAAAGTGATTAATCTAGCTTAGAGAAGGTGGAAACTTTAACTAACTCACTTCTAGTTTTAATATTATTGTGTATTTTTAATAATAGAAAGATGGGTACTACCATGACGGACTGAAATCATTAACTTAATCATAACTGTCTCGATTTATACAAGTGATACTATTCTAGTCAGTACTTCTCATAATATTTCTTTTAGCGTTAAGGAAAGAAAAGTTTGTAAGTTGATTATAGAAATGTTAGAATAAATATATTGCTTTATGCAGAAAGTAGAACAACTATCAACATATTTGTATCATGCCCAGCTAAGGATAAATAAACTGGTTGATATTTGTTTAATAAAACATTTCAAAAGTTTTTTACTCATTAGGACGTAATTACTTTGTTTTTATTACTAGAAAGTAGTTAGATTCATGTTTACATATTTTCCATAGCTCAGTGAACGAAAATGCCTATTTCCTTCTTCTCTCTCTCTATCTCCCTCTATTTCCATTCTTATCACTCCTGTTTTGTTGATAGTAGTTCAAATGAAATGATTTTGTAAAGATTCACTTATACTTCGAAGGTAATTTTCGTCACAGATGGAAGATGAAAAACCATTGAAAATCATAGAAAACTGTCTCAGCAGTACATAATGCACCGCCCTGCACGAATTCGAGCCTACGACCCTAACGTCAACAACAAGTGTTTACACTTCTGTAATGTAATACCACTTGGTTTGTTCTGGTTCCCCAATTAATTGCACTAAATAATGGAAATTATGTACAGTATAATTTAAAGGTTAGAGGTGTAATGAAGTGTAATGAAGTGTAAATGCTCAGCTTAGTCACCATCACCAACTATGTTTTAGGCCATTACTTATGTACATTTATATGTTAATCAACCCACTGTTATCTGGAAATGTGTGTACCAGAAATCACCTAGACAATGCAGATGAACAAAACGTGTACATATACAAAAACGTTGGAAACCCAGTCATAATAAATTCAGGTCAACCTGCTTATGGTTAGGGTTGATATATATTGAACAAATATGTATAAAACATTCTCTATACACACACTTTTTTGATCGATTTCAATTCAGCTAAGAGAAAGAAGGAACTGATTGAGTTTTCTTGCTTAAAGCTAGGATTTAATGACTATTCAGCAAAATAAATTTGAAAAATCTTTAGTTTGTGTGTTCTATCTAACCATAGTGAACGGGGTTTGAAATATGTGATTCATATAGTCGAGGCTGATATTTGTGTTCTGGACTGAACCGATTTTGTTAGTCGAGAAGCTACTATATCACGGACCCATATAGATTCAGAGTTGACTTAAGGCTGCTAGTAGTGGGTTACGTGCCATTATCTAACCCATTAACAAGGTCATAGGAGTTGATCCTGTGATTGGCGACTTTTCAGGTGATATTTGACGAGACATAGGACATAAAATATTTGTGAATCTTAAAGTCGCCTCAAAGCTGACAAATAATTGCATTTTTTAACCATCTCATAAAACTAAGAATATTAACACTTACAAATATTTTCTGTTCAATACTTCAAATCCAGTAATTGTCTACTATAAGAAAACCAGATTATCTAGTTCATGAAATTGAAGCGTAAATTTCTGAAAGCGACACCATAAAGATGTGAGCAATAACCTAACTCAGTAGCAAAGTTCAGTTGTATAGAATAAATTTGAATCTGATAAAAATATCATGTGAAGATTATACTATTTACCACGGTAATCAATATAGTTTAGACGATCTGAATATCTCAAATAGTGTTTTAAACTAGAATGTTTCAACTATTAAAACATTTCATCCAATAATTAATTATTACTTTATGACACCTAATCAATTTGAAATATCAATATTGAAACTGAATTGTAATCATTCAATGGAACCTAGATATTGTTAAGATTTCTGCAAAAATATGAATATGCATAAGGAAAATGAGAAAAAAACATTAATTAGTGCAAACATTCAATCATAATAGCCACAATTCCACATCAGAATGATAGTTCGAAAACCTCTGAGAAAAACAGGTTGCATTTTGCTGAGAGGACCTAATTTAACCTATTTTTTGTTAATAAATGTCAATTCTTTTGAAAAAAGAAAACTGTGATAATTTTTCTGCACTAATATTTTGTGTTATTTGAAAGGTGATTGTTATTTTCAGTTTGTTGATTTCACTATCAGAAGGGTGTTTTGTGGATAGTATAGTAGTTTTAATAGTTGAAATCATGAGTCAATAGAAGCTAGACCACCATGGAAAACCTGGAAGCACTGGACGGCCGTTTCGCTCTGTTGTGGGACTTCTCAGCAGTGCGCATTCATGATACCGCCTCGCGAAACTTGAGCCTAGGACCTATCAGTCTCGCGCTTAACCTCTAGACCACTGAGCTGACATCCAACGGTGTTAGTGTCTAAATTCAATCAATCCACGAAGTTGAGTGACACATTCACCATTGTCTACAGTGAGTTACTGTCTCACAACGGACCTGGTTGAACTCCACGGTTGAACTCACTATGTGTCCCAAGGTCATGTTTTACAGAGTTGTCTGACTTCAAATTTTCTCTTATTCGATATTAATCGTCTCTTGAACTGACGATTTCTTCCTGTCCTCCATAACGTTGAGGATAATTGTTGAAATGTTGTATGTTAGTTGTTCAGTTTGTCTAGTTCATTTAGATTTAGTTTGTATTAAAACAGTACATCAGTTATTCATAAGTAAGAGTTACCATAAACCTATTTCAAAACACATCCAATTTTGAATGATGTCGTAAAACGTTAATAGCTTTTCTTTCTGTAAAGGCAAGAAAAACAGAAACATAGTATGATAAATTGAATTGATTATATGTCTTTAGAACTTGATATAAAACGCTTAAGCTTCATAAATAATATACAGTCATTTTAATGTATCGAAATGTATTTAACTTATGCAAAGTAATCCAGTTTATCAGTAAAAACAATTACAAGTGCCTATTAAATAATAAAGGTCTTTTTTCATTGTCAAATATGTGATGTACTGTATGTCTCATTGATTTTTCTCTTTTTTTAATGCATAATACATATCTGTGTTGGTAAACGAAATTAAAATTAAGAAATTTTGTTCAAATCTGTCTGATAAGTGTATCTTCATCACAATCTAGTTGTAATGTTTATTTTTCGACAAATGGAATATGAAATTCAATTAAGAAATATTCCTTTTTATTTAACTGTCTAACATTTCTCTACAAAAGCTTCAACTGACTCATGATCTTAACCATTGAAATTACTACAATCTCCACAAAAAACCCATCTGATATTAACCAACATATGCTCACTAATGACTGGCTTCAAGAGGTATATCTAGTGAGAAGTAGTGACCAGTGGAGTTCAACTAGGTTTGTTGTGAGATAGTAACTCACTGAAGACAATGGTGAATGTGTCGCTAAATTTCGTGGTTTAGTTGAAGTTAGACATTAACACCGTTGGATGCCGGCTCAGTAGTCTAGTGGTTAAGTGCTCGCGCGCGAAACCAGTAGGTCCTAGGTTCGAGTCTGGCAGGGGGCGAGGTCGTGGATGCGCACTGCTGAAGAGTCCCACAATAGGACGAAACGGCCGTCCAGTGCTTCCAGGTTTTCCATAGTGGTCTAGCTTCAACTGACTCATGACCTTAACCATTGAAATATATATTTGATCGAGGAAGGCAGATTGTGAAGATTATTGAATTGTCTAGTGTATGTTGTAGACTGTGATTAAACACACATTGAATACCTAGAAACACTGGACGAATGTTGGGTCCTCGTATGAGACCAAGTCTCGTTGAATTATGGATACACAGTGATGATGAGTCCCATACTTCGCTCAGTTCGTGACATATATATATCAAAACTGATTATAAAATCAATGCTAATTAGTTAGTAGTGACTTGTGTAACACTATTTGTACGGTCAATAGATATAATATTGTTCAATTAATAAATAGTTTATTATAAAGCTCAAAGGTTTCAATATCAAATAAATTCTAACGTGACGCTATTAAGTCAGACTATTGAGTAATGAGTGCAAAAATTCAAAAATTCAAGTTAAGTGGTCAAATAAATAGAAATATCATACGAAATAAAGGTGTGAGGTTCTAAACAGACTAGGTTGTATAATGCATAGTAATACTATACAAGAAGAACAAAAGGACTCACTAAGTCGACCGAATAATAAAGACCTGAGTCAACAACACATTGATTCAAATTGTTTCACCATTTAAACACACGAAGTTGAAGGGTGTCGGGATAATAATAGTAATGGTGATATTCTGACTAAACAGGAGATGTTATTTAAAAGGAGACATGATGTTAGAGAATAAAAATAATTCAATATCTCAAGATTTGAAGAAAAATAAAAACCGAATATATCAGCACCACTGTGGTTGACTTTGAGCTATGTCCCTCAATGTCTTTAAATAGTGATCATAGTTGTTGCACGAAAATCAGTCAAGTAGTCTACACCTACCGAAAGTCACTGACTTGATGGATCAATGTCAAGTCTTCGTTATTCCACACCTCGTTTTATCCAATACATTTCGAGGTAGGCGGCGATAAAGACTCTTATTAAATAGGAATGTCAACCCAGTTAGAGGAATCTTTAATCACATAAAGTTCAATTTTTTAAAAATTGTTTGTCAGGAAAATAGCTTTAACTGAATGAGTTCCTTTGGTTGTCGTTGTACAGCTTAGAGTAGATGAATTCGCAATCATTTACATTGAATTGGTGTTAAGCATTGACTAGACACTCAAAACTGGAGCTTCTTAACCTAATTGTCGTCATACCATTTTTAACATATTTCAACTTACTGAGTCAGATTTCAAGTTAGTTGATTCACTACTGATTGATAAAAGAATGAAAACCATCACAATTGATTGATCACTGGGTGGTGATCAATGTCGTGCTTGTCTAGTCCTTATTAGTGCCGATCGAATGCTATCGATCATGTTGCAATGTGGCCCCCAGTCTAGGTGACTCGACACTGCGGGCACTATGTATTGAGATTTAGATGGTGGTTGGAGGTGGTCAACAGGAAACCCTGGACCCGAGTTTGATCACCACCCAGTGATCTATCAATTGTGATTATATCTCAGTCCTACAGGAGGTTAGTCACGGCTCGGATAGCTCAGTGGTAACGTCTCTGACTGTGAAGCTGGGTGACACGAGATCGAATCCGCCAGGGAGCACCAGTTCCCTCAAGATTACAGGTACACCTTGCTGACGAGTGCCAAGTAGCACGAAACACGGGTCCAGGGTTTCCTGTTGACTACCTCCAACTACCATCTAAATGAAAACCATACATTACATGTTTATTGCTTATTTCACGTTTATGATTCTCCCTGAATACTAATTGATTTTACATGTAACTAGATACTTTGAAACCTAATCAAATCTACGTAAATACTACAATAAAGTTAAGTTTATTCAAAAACTACACAATAAACAAGATTGTATCGATTAGGATTACGTTACTTTCTCTCAACACACTGTTGTCCTCTGCCTTTTTAAATATTTCATTCCTTTATATAGTTAGACATTTAATTCATAACATTAGTATTTTGGAGGGATTATTTGTAATCAGTGAAGAAAAGAAGTAACATTACTTTTATTTTTGTTGTTTAGTCTAATAATCATTGTGTTAATGTTTTAAAACAAATATGTTTACCAGACGACGAATTCTGATAACTCGATAGCTATTTACGCAGTTGCATTCAACATATGCTTGTATTTGTGACACTAAACTGGGGCTATAAACAAACTGGATATAGTAATCCATTTATTCGAAAACAAACAGGTCACTTCATTTATGGACACAATGTTAATACTTAAACCTTTTTGATGATTCATAGGTGATATAGTGATAGTAACAAAAAGGTTAATTTATGATTCATTAACTAATATTTTGTTTTTGATAAATTAAAATCGGTTACAAAAATTTTTTAAGACTATCAAGAAGAAAGAAACTGTTACTAAAGATTTAGGGGAGTTTCGAATTGTATGTGAGAAGGAAACACTAAAAGCGTAACAGCGCTGTAGAATTCTTTCACTCTAGTTTAAAGCTTACTAAAGCCAAACACTTCAGACCACACAACAGATTTAAAGATGAGGCTGACATGTCTCAAAAACTACCAATTTAAATCGTTTTAGGACAGTCAGTAAATTGGAGTTTTACTAGCTCTTTCACTACGTAATTGATAATCATATAAATTATTTACATAGTTTCTGTGTACGTTCATCAACTTGATATGGTCAACTCAAACTCAGACATACAGTATAACGAACTCAAAACCAAATTGTATATGGACTAAAATATTTTTGTTTGGTTGGCGAAACTTATGTTGTTTTTGCAGTTTCAGCTGTGGATTTATTAAAAACCCCATGAATTGGAGTAAAACATCATCCAGTTTTCATAATTCCTATATATGAACACTTTCTTATTTCAAATATAGGAATGGAAATGATAAGTTGTCATAAGATCATTACCACGATATATGCAGCCGACCAGTTCTAAACAGGACGATGTGTATACTGTGGACCTTCCTCCTATCTGCTATCAAAATATATACATTCAAATAACATTTCGTTGAAATTGAATAAACAAAATCATTATTTAAAAAAACTTACAAATAATTCAAAATCAATTAAGAACATTAGTTTACGATTTACATTCTGTTTTCTCAATGTCCATACTGTTAGTTATTGTCATAATTGGTAATTATCATAACTACCCCTTAACTGATACATTTCCACTCACTTGATTCTCTTAAATTATGTGAACTCTTCAAATCCGATTCAATTATTACATAGACCCATCTTACCAGTTTTTAATTTTATGAATCTTATGTAAACTCTTCATGACCTCTAAAATTGTCACATAATTTATCTCATCTGTCACTGAACTTCATTCAACTATTATGTCACCCATCCCTAATGTTTCCTTGATTTTAACACCAAATAACCTCTGACCCATTCTTGCATATATGTAAAGTTATTATTGACATCCTTGGTCATTCCAATTCTTTACATTTACTTATGTCATATGTTCCACACTATATCTTACCTCAGTGTAAAATTCTAATACATATTTGGTTGTAAGCAGCTGATGAGAAACCACGAAATATAATGAATTCATATTATTCTGCATCAGTGTTCGTTCTGACTTTATTTAAATTCACAGAGGGAACTAATTGCATAATAGTGATAAACTGATGTGCTAATTGCTACTTAGTAAAATGGGGTAGTCTTTGTAAGTGATGCAGTTGAATAACTAAACTCAATTTTGGATGAGCAAAGGTGGTATAATACAATAAAAGACCAAATTAGGCAATATCAGGATAATTCTTATCATAACAATCTTTAATTTATTTTTTGAAATTAAAATAAATTATTTTTAGTTCATTTGATGGACTAATTTAAAATAGACAGTCACAGAATATCAGGATCATCGTACAACTCTTTGTTTCAGTACGAGACTCCACAGCATCGTACACCCACAACCACCCCAGAAGAGACACTTAAAGTTTTCAGATGGAACATAAAATGATTTATTTATAATCCACCGAATTAATATTCAGCAGTTTATATTTCCAACTGAATTCAATTCATGATACATAGATGGCTATCGTCTATGAAAGGAACTAACTGTTTTGTTTTCATCTTTGCTATAACCTTTTTTTAAAACTTTTTCCCCTTTTAATCATTAATTTTTATAGATCAGAATTGTTTACGTTCGAATCTCGATTAGAAAAAACACCCAATCAAAATTTATCACTTGCATTTCATTTAGCAACAGCTGAATTTGCCACTCCAAGACTACTAGAACCGGTGGATATGCGTCATGAGAATATTGATGCTAGATCGACTGCTGTTTATCTCTTAGAATTACGTAAAGCGGTTGAAAGAGATAGAAAGCGTCGTTCTAGAGGTATTCTAGAAATACAAACAGCAGCTATGGTAAGTTGTTTACCGTGTTACAAATGTTTTTTTTTTTTCAAAACTGATGTTGTAATACTGTACAGGTTTTCTCGTTAGATTGCTTATCATTCTTTTTTCGAATCAATCAAAAAAGACAATATATACAAGAACAATCAGATTACTATTAATTTGACATATCTTTAGTTTAGTTATTTGTTGATTTAATTAGATAGATTGTGAATATTTTTTTATTTTTGAAGAACATTTTTTATCGAATAGTTCATATTTTCCAGATTCAGATGATACAGAATGATATTCAACAGAACTCATTCATCAACTAGAGCATTAATAATTCCAAATCACGTTAATTCCTAATGCCGTAGAATAATCTGACATATATAAAAATATTCTGCAAACTATTTTTCAAGCCAAAGTCCAAATTAGAGAGAATTATCAACTTAAAATTAACATGGTAGACTGAAAATTTCAGTAGAAGAAATATAAATTTAAAAAACAAATATTTTAACTTCAGTAGTTGAGATCATGAGTCAATTAAACCTAGACCTGGAAGCACTGGACGGCCGTTTCGTTCTATTGACGGACTCCTCAACAGTGCGCATCCACGACGCACCCCGCGGGATTCGAACCCAGGACCTATTTTAACCTTGAGAAAGCAGATTCAATGCTAGTAAAATGATATAAATAAAATCAATTTCACACCAATCATTATCAACATAAGAACTGAAATAAATATTCGTCAATTTCTTTTGTTAAGGCAAGCAAATGAACTTATGGGATCAGTTTATAAATAATAATGTGCGTTCTTTACTTCAACTATAAAAAAAATAAAATAATCCTATTCAGATTTCTCAAAAATTAATAATGGGGTATTAGATTTTAATACCGAAAGAAATATGTCGTCTATAGTTTTTAACTAAATATTAGATATGACGTTTCTAAAAGAACATTTGTCAGTGAAACATTAATTTTCTAGACTTACATAGTTTTTGTTAAACACAAGGAATTCAATATGATAAATATTTAAAACTTCATAAATAAAAGTAGAACAATCTACCTTTCATTTAGTTCGCATTACTGAAACATCTGCATGTTAGAAACGTTACGTGATCTAGTTTATTGTTGTAGAAATGGTGTGGTTGTGTATGAAGAAGAGGGAAAACGCACATCGTGAAAGATTTTGAGTTATTTATCTTTGAATCATTGTTTCATTGAAGTACAGATGTAGCTACAAAAACCCTATTACTATTAACTTGATTTGAAACAGTTACTCCTCACGATCTTTTTTTTCTTAATATGCAGGTAAGATGACGAAATATAAATACGAATTTAGCTTTGATCAGATACAAATAGCCAAGTTACTCTCATTCTCACGAAATTCCCTCCTTAAATCTAGCTATCAATGTCTCATTTAGGTAGCCCCAAAATCTCTAGTACTACTGACTTTGACTAACCAAGTGTTATTTTATCTTCTGTTATTATCCTCTGATTGAATAAAGTCAGTTCGATTTTTTTAATCTGAAACTTTAAAAATATTTAGATTCATGGACAGTCAAATGAAGAACCAAATGTTATAGTTGAAAGTCGATGTTCACCGACATCAACATGTAGTACGTCGGAAACTTCTTGGCTTGATGATGAAGTTGAAGGTGATTCAGATGACGAAACTGGTGATATAAATCGTCTACCTGATCCTGATCATTTTGGTACAGTAATTGAAACAACATTAGCATGGTTATTGGCTATGGAAGAACAATTTGGGCAAAACGATCTACAAGAGGATCAGCGTAATTTTACGAGTAACAATTATACAATGACTAAAAATGATCAGTTACAATCAGTGCATAATGAAGAAGATAAAAATTTCATTCTGCGTCTTCAAAGAGCCAACTCAAATGAAACAACATTAATGCATGCAGCAATTTTAAAAAACATTGATGAAGCCAGAGATAAGTTTGAAACACATGAGGTAAGCTTTAAAAAGTTTCTATTCGTCTGATTGTGCGCGTGTTTTTAGGGTTTTCTGTGACTGGTTATTAGTATACGCTATTAAACCATTTTTAATTATGTGCTCACAAAAGAAGTCAAATAGAAAACCCTATTGGCAACTGAAATTAAATAACTTGCTATTAGCTATTATAGAATAATCCACCAGTGAAGTAATTTTTATAATTTAGGCCATTACTTATGGATTAAATAACTGAATAATGAAGTTTATAAATGAAATTTGGTTGACCCAGGTTCAGGTCTTCTGAAGATCGTCAGTTCGTCCCTACAGATAAGCAATTCAACTAAGCATGAAATCCGTATCAGGATATTCTTTGTGATAATCAAACGTATTGAATATTAATATTCAGTGGTTTAGCTTAGTGGCCATAATGTATAAACAGAAGAATCACTCAAAATTATATTAGGGGCAGAGTTGAGACATGGGATTATTAGTGATTATTCTCTAACTAGTCCATTTTGTAGTCTTCTCACATTGAAAAATGTTGACAAGAAACCTTAAGTTCATGAAGCTCTACAAAATATATTTCAATATTGATTTTTTTTCCGTTTAAAGATCCTGGATATTACTTGAAATGGATTTATTTCAGGATATTCAGACGTGATGGTGAGAAGTCGTTTTCAAATAGTGAAACAAAGACTTAACTGTGATGATTTTAATTCTATAGTTTTGTAGTACGTGGAATTCCTTCTAGTAAAGGCTATTTAACCTAAGAATCGTGAACAAAAGCTACGACAAAGAACATAAATGTAGACTATAGTTGAAAGTCGTAATTGTTTTGGTTGCTACCCTTATCAAAATTGATCATCTACTGTAAAATTATGTGTAACTACTATTTGTTTACACCATTCATTAGTCTATTATGTCATATATACACGAAAACCATTCAGTAGTCCTCAGTGTTAAGCCTAACTACATCACAGTTGAATGATGGAAACATTTCACGTTATACAATGAATTGTGACGTTAGTTCATTGAGTTTTGCAATCATTAATATTTCTGCGGTGGAACGATAGTAATTTCTCTTTTTCTCTTAATTGTTTCGTAGTTGTCTTTAAATACTTTATTTAATGGCCATTTTTTCTCTCTTCTCTTCTAATAATCAATAAAATTCAATTAGGATTTAACTGCTCACTTATCACGCCGTCAAATGGCTGTTGGGCGCTGTCTACGTCTTGGTAACCGTTTAATAAAAACACATGAAAACTTAGATAATATTCTGAAAAATAATGAAATGTTAAGTCAAAAGGAATCAAACAGTGTTCAAACTGGTGTTGATGCTAGCGATGAAGAGAGTTCTGAGAATATGGAGGAAAGACAAAGGCAAATAACTATACAGCAAAAACTTCGTGAATTAGATCCTTCTATTATTCAACGACAAACTGTATTATTAGCAACAAGATGGAATAATCTATGTCGTTTAAATACTGCTGTAGGTAAACGTATAACAGCAAGTTTACTTAGACGACAAACTATGCTTTTAAGTGCTATACGTATACAATTAGATAAATTGGAAAATGAGCAGTAAGTTTGTTCCTTTATTTTAATAAAATGTTTAAAATCACTAATGTGATAAAGCGTGAAAGGCCTCATTCGAATATAATTCTTGGATAGCCATAGTTACATATCTATAGATATGAGTTGACCTTATGTTAACAATAAAATAATGAAAGACTGAAATTTTAAAATATCATTACAATTTACTAGGATTGAAATAGACATGGAATTTCGACATAAAATTAATAAGAAGCGAGTTATTATTCCAAAAAACTACTTTCATTCATTGATTTCGTAGCGTCATACATTTCTAATTGTCATATAAAATTGATTGAACTGAACGAGATTCTAATGGCCAATTTAGAATACTCCATATATGTAAAGCTTTTTCTAAGGTCCTCTATAGTAGGATACATTTTCCCTCGTTTTTGAACTATATGTAATTACTTGAGATTTTCAATCGTTTTGCATAATTTTACAAAATTAAAATTTGAGAGACTACTACTACTACTACTACTACTACTACTACTACTACTACTACTACTACTAGAAACCCTAATTCATATGCGTTTTCAAAACACCAATAGAATCATGTTTTTCCAAATACAGTTTTCTGTAATGGGCTGATTGTCAGAATCTGTCACATTTATGTTTACCTAATGTATAGTCATAATAAATGTCAGTGATAACTACATCTATGTCATCATCATATAAATCTGAAACCAACCATCGTTTTTCATTAAACGGTTACCAAACTACTGGTATCTTTGTGAGTAGGTAAAAGAATACAACTTTAATTTCGTTGAATAAATTTTTAATCAAAATTGATTTATGCAACTGGATGTTGGTTGCAAATTTTCACCATAATACTTTTTTGTACCAAAAAATGCACATTTAGAACTCTTCAACTGAATCAACAAATTGGTCCGTCAATTGCTGATATTAAAAAGCAGTTAGAAGCAAATCGATGTTTAGAACAATTGATTGAATCTGGTGAAGCATTAGCAGAACGTTTAGATAATTTCATAACTATTGTTCCACAAAAAGCAACAGATAATGAAGATAATTATATGAATGAACGTGGTATAGAAAATGTAATTGCTGAATTAGCTACTCGTTGGAGTCGTTTGGTTAGTTGGGTAAATACACGTTATGCATGTTTACAAAATGTTTTACTATATTGGAGACATTTCGAAGAAGAAGCAAATGTATTATCTGATTGGTTAGATGAGCGTACAGACGAAGTGACTAAAACAGTTGCAAATTTAATCCCATCAGTACCAAATCATCATTCAAATAATATATTAACAATTTCACATTCACGACATAGTTCATTTGGTAATGATATGGAATTGAATGAACAAAAATTAACTAACTATAAATTACTTGAAAGAGCTGGATCCAGTGGCAGTTCAGTTATGCAAACACAGGATAGTATGGAACGAATTACTGTATCAAAAGATAATTTAAATCGTGATAGTTTACAACAAATGGTTTTAAATCAAAACGATGCAGAAATGGAAGCCATAGATGTAAGTTTGTGTAATTTTCAAAGTTTGTATTGATTTATTCAACAACAAAAAATAGCAAGACTATTGTGATATTTAGTTCATCAAGTGAACGAAAAATGGAAAATATATTGATATGGCCGAGAGGAATTAAATACGATAATTGAAATGAATTTTGTTTCTGGTCGACAACAAATAAGATGACTTTCTCTATCCCTACTTCACTTCAGAACCTTACATCACCTTGAGCTAAGAATTATCAAGAGGCAAATAATTGACCTGTGACTACAAAAAACTAATATTTAGGCAAACTACCACTAATTACATAAATTTTCAAGTAATTAAATATTACAATTAAAAGAAGTGACTAAGTGATTAGTGAGAATCTGTTCACTAACAGAATGGATTATCCAATAAGACTGTTCCAACCATAAGACAGTATGAACAAAAATCTGATGAAGAAGACCTTATAAGTTACTGACGAATGACTTCAAACGCCAATTTTTATTCCAGTCTATTCACATGACTATTTCCCCCTGAGCTTCTCTTCGTTTTTACCAAGTCTCATATAACTTGGAGAACAAAACGAAAGTATAGTTTCATGCAGTTGGTTCCTTTGATAAACTTTTGTTTAATTGGAACAAGAAACACTGTAGGATGAAGTAACTGATTTTCGTTTCATCTTTCCTGAATCTGCCGCACATGCACTGATTTGTATGGATAAATAAAAATTTATTTAAATGTAAGGTTCTCACAATCATTAAATTCACTAGTGAAAATTTTTTAGTATGGGTTGTTATTACTAATTATCATACTTGTTTGTTGTACTCGATTACGTCATGGCTTCTTATTCACTCATTCCATCCATCTATAAACTGAACTTGTGTAGTGGATTAGCTTCGGGATAATTTCCAAGGCTTCTTATATCACTTGTCCTGATAACCGCTATTAAATAACTCCAAATGGTGTATAAATTTCCGAAGACAACATGAAGTGTTGGCGACAGTTTATTATTGTATCGCACAAATTACTAAGTCACAAGCACATAAAGTGAATTTAAGCAACTAACATTTAGGTCAGTAAGAGAGATGTGTGAGTAGGTGTTGCACATGACCAAGCACACATGATCATACAGACATGATAATAATAATAATAATAATAATAATAATAATAATAATACAAAGATGTAGACAAATCATTACTGTTCAAATGAAACTATCTGTTAAATAAGTTAATTTAAAGGTTTAACAAAATTAAACATAAACAGATTCAAGTGTAGGTGAGGTGTAATACTTGTATGAATATTTAAGCTAATTATTATAACTATAATTACTTTTCATCAATGTATTTAATGACTTCATACGTGTTCGACACAAAATCATATTTGTTTATATAAATCAGTATGTAAAAGATTTAGAGCATATAAAGTAGAGTGAATTCACTTCATCCTACAATGTTTATTGTATTTACTTTATAAAAATAAAGAAAATCCCTATGATATTTTGTTGATGATGATTTAATCAAGTAAAACATGCTTAATACTTTTATTCCAACGAATTTAGAACTTTTCGAAATCATATTAATACTCCTCATTTTTACTATGATGTATGTTTATGTTTGACGTAGATAAATATCTGGATATATTATTATTGTTATTATTATTCATTTATCAATATGTATATACTGATGATATGAGAGAGATTAAAATACCCAGTGTATATTATTGAACTTCTCATATTCATCTTTATCAAGACAAAAAGTTTGTGCATATATATTTCTATGTCTGTAAGTCCCAATATCATGCGAGTATAAAATTCAGATTTTCTTAACTGATAACAATTCATACCGAAAGTTATTATTTAATTACGTAATGGATTACTACTGAAATATATCATCTGGAAACAATGAAAAAATCAAATGTGACAGCTAGATAATGGGTTTGAATCCCGAGAGGCGGGGTCGTGGAAGTGCAATGTTGAGGAGTCCCACAATAGGATAAAACAGCCGTCCAATGCTTCCAGGTTTTCCATAGTGGTCTAGCTACAACTGACTCATGATCTCAACTATTGAAATTACTACAATCTCCATAAAACCTCTTGTGATACAAATAAGAATTTGTCAAATAAAAGATAATACTTTCTAGAGAAACAATTCACTGGATTTATATACAAAATTATCAAGTGTAGTCACATTCATCCAATAGTTTACTTAAGCTAAAAGTTTATACAAACTTATTTGAAGCAATTTTCTTTTAATAGTTGAATTCATGAGTCGATCTGAGCTAGACCACCATTGAAAACCTTGAAGCAGTGGATGGCTATTTAGTCCTAGTATGGGACGTCTCAGCAGTGCGCATTCAGGATCCCGCATGTCGTCGAGTGGTTCTATGTTTTCAATGGTTGTCTAGCTTAGATTGACTGATGAGTTTAACGATTAAAATTACTACAATCTCCACAAATCCTCATTCTGATAATAATTCTCTTTTAGTTTAATTATAACAAAAGAAATAATTTTTTAAGACATAATGATAATTTAGCAAAGTTATTTGTCAAGTAGAAATAAAAATTAAATAATCCATAGTTATAGTGTCACTATTGTAGTATTGAATTTCTTTCGAAAGGTTATTTCAAAAGCCTTCGGAAACTTTAAATTGTATGCTTAAAATTATTTTATATGTCCTCTTAAGTTAGTTTCTAACTGTCCTCACAACAAACCGTACATACTATTGAAAAATATTATAGTCAATATGGGTTGCTTTTTTACTTATTTTTTACTTTGTGTGTTCCTTTCTAAACAAACCCTTGGTACCTTTGATTTTATTGTAAATCTTGAGTAGTTGTACAACCATTTCTATTTAACATCTATTCTTGCTTAGACATACACAGGAGTTTGAGTAGTTTATCTTGAAAAGAGGCTGTTTTCCTTCGATTCCTCTTCGGAAGAAGCTAGTGGTTTATTCATTGATTATTATTTAGCACCTATATTTCTTTTGAACTTAAATGTTACACATTTACCAAGTACAGATTTGCGTACTCAATTTTTCAACAAAACTTTTCTGCATGAAGAGCAATAATACTACTCAATTCCTTAAGCTATATTAGACAGAGAGAGGTTCAAACCCAATTTTTTGTTGGTTGAAAGATCAAAGTCATAACCACTTAGTCATAACTCTTGTAATTTATGTTCCGCTTTCATAATGATTGAATCCAAAGTAAAAAAATTAAGTAGAAATCTGGATATGCTACATACCAGTGTTGTTATGGTTATATGCACAAGTCAAGTTGTAATCCATTTATCGAAGTCTATTATATGAAATGTCAACATGACTTGTATAATTATTATCCAGTGTGTTTAGATCAGTTTAAATTTTACTAAACAAATATTAAACAACTGTCAGTAGTACGTAAAGCAAAAATAATGTTGCTTATTAAACTATTCTTGTCTCAGAGTGACACCAGTCAATAAAATTGATTCAGTAGACATAATAAATTGAGCTTCTTTAAAAAAAACCCAATACCCATAATTTAATGTTGTAGATAAATTCATTAAAACAGTTAGTCTATAGGATGGAGTTGAGCGATCCTGACGAAATGTTATTTTTAGCCAATCGGAAAACAGTCATTGAGAATGAATAGTTTAATTGGAATGTAATTATAGAACTAAGATACACGGATTTTACATGAAAATTGATACATAAATTCAACCGTATGTCTATATGACATTGATGTTCTTGGTTATAGGATTGGCTTTAGGGGTTCAGGTTAGGAATTAGGACTGGGATTTCGGTTGATCGATAGGGTTGACCTTCTCCTTATATACAATCTACTTAGAATAGTGCTTACTTGATGACATTAACGGTACCACTTTTAAAGTACCGTGAAAAAATGAAATCTTCCATTAAAACTTTGAGCATATTAACCAATATCCGAAGATCTCCTTATTTATGTTATGTTATGTAGATTAATTCATTTCTGAATTTATTTAGAGAACTCGTAATTCCTTTCCTTGATTCTAAGTGACTTATAACTATTACAATTACAATTTTTTACTGAAATCATGAACCACTAGCGAAAACCTGGAAGCACTGAACGGCAGATTTATTTTAGTATGGAACTCCTCAGCAGTGTACTTCCACGATCCTACACGCATTACTCAAACCCAAAACCTACAGTCTTGCGCGAACATTTAACCTCTAAATCATTGAGCTGGAATCAAACGGTGCTATTATTTAATTTCAACCAATCCACGAATTCGCTCGAAAATCTTCCATGGTCTTCAGTGGGTAGCAGCCTCACACTCGACATCGATTAGCTTCACTGGTCACTATTGTGTCTTTATGGTCCTCTAGTTACCACGTAATATATTCGCCAATAAAAAAACGACTTATTCGTCCTTTTACTGTACTAAACCAATGGTCAGTTGCTCGCCTAGTCCGTCCAGCTGAGTCCAGAATGCTAACAACAGACTCCACTATGCGAATCATTTGTTTCAGACATACTGGGTTTATGTACAAAACAAACAGACCGCAACGCACCATAAAATAGAAAATAACATTCATACACAATAAAGCCAAAATGTGGCTGTGAACGTGGGAGGCAGTAGTCAATAAACTGAACATAGCTTAAGAACAGTAAATCGTACCATAATAAATTATAGGTCAAAATGAAGCTTATAATAAGAGAAATTTAGATGTACACAACCTAATTACTGAATAGTTATACAATAAGAATGTTTAGATAATAATAGTTCATTTATAGCTCTCAGAAGATATCCGTAATTAATTCTTCACTAGGATATAACAGTCACAGCATCTGATTAGGAAGATGGTCGCACGACATCGTGGAATGGTTGAATTTAGGCGTTAACGATGTAGGTTGTCAGCTCGGTGATCTAGAGGTTAGATGTTGGCGCGAGACTGAAAGTCTAGGCTTCAAGTAGTGCGTTCAGGATCGTAGATGTGCACTACTGCTGAAAGTCATACTCGAACGAAACGGTTATTCAATTCTTCCAGGTTTTCAATAATG